TGTCGCTGTTTGGTATTTTTTTTTCTCTAGCCGTGGCACAAAAACTGCTTCCGATGTGCCAAGTGTGGCAAAAGCCTAGAATCGACAACCCTGACTGAAAAAGAGGGAGAAATCTATTGTAAAGGTGAGGAAAGACAAAGAGCATTTGTTTAGGGTTCAAGGTAATGCATTGCAAGGAGAGATGCTGAATTTATTCGTGCTATAAGAAACTTTCAGGCTCCTGTCAAGATGGGAGTGCTCTGTAAGTCACAGGAGTAGAGCTGAGAAATAAATATTACTGAATCTGCTGACGTAGCTTACATCTGCATCAAGCAAAACATTACATACTGAATGATGCAGCAGCAGCCCATGCCCTCTGCCTGGGTCAGAGAGCAAGTCAGAGTAAGGAAACAGGCTAGCTTGCATCCTGTGTGGTGCCATGGGTATAAACTTGATCCACGCAGTGGTTTGATGGCATACTGCAAAACCTGTATGAGTCGCTCTCCCGGAGTAGGTCGGGAGCTACACCGACCCAACAGCCACGGCTGCTGAGTTCAGTCATGGCACTTAGGCAGCTTAACAGAATGTTTCGAAGTGTTGCTTCCAATGGGGCAGCTCTGCCTAATGGGAAGGGGCCAAGGGGCTTAGCCTAGGCAGTGCTGTTCTTGACCCACCAGAAGCCTCAGCCACATGTTCATCTTTCTCGCAGGCTGTTACGCGAAGAACTTTGGCCCCAAGGGATTTGGGTACGGCCAGGGAGCGGGCGCCCTCGTTCATGCCCAGTGAGGGGGCACAGCTCAAAACCCCTTACGGCTCTGCTGAGATCCTGCTACAAGAAAGAAGAGAGTTCCCCAAAACTTACTAACTACTGTGAAACAGATACTAGTTACTGTAGTGCTTGGGCATACACTCGGCAGATGATTTTTCTATTTAAAAAAAACCCCACTGCTTCTTTCCTTGCTTTGTGTATCACACTGTAACACTTTCAATACCGAGTATCAATTCAATAAAGCTTTGCTTGTTGATTTATCCTAAACCCAAGCGTTACACACTTTGTCAGCAATAGAAAGGTAAGTAAGGGGAGTGTTGTTGGGGTGCCTGGGGTGTGCAAGGGTGGAGATGCGATGACAGGCTTGGTGCAGACCTTCGCTGAAAGCCCAGCGTGACTTGAAAGCTGGACACAGCACTGGCCACGGCCTTCAGAGCTCAACAACTGTCCTCCAGCAACTACCTGCTCACTGCACAGGAGTAAACCTTCATCTACAGCTCCGTGCAGTGACAAGGCTCTGAAAGTGCTAGGTTATAAGTAGCTCTGTGCCTAGATGTCTGGCTGTCTCTGCCACAGAGGCTCTAAGGCACGGGAAACCAACCTTTTGTCGCTGTAGCATTTTGTGGGGTTGCACCAGCTTTGGGACAGAGGTGTTATTATGCACAGGACATACTGTGCCAGAGTACTGTAGCAGCACAGCTGCCTGTTAGTGCCATCCCTACCCAGCAGCCAACCGAGCTCTGGACTATCACATCAAACTCAGGTTTAAGAGCAGCTTTTGACCTTTCTCAGTAGTGCTGTGACCCTTGTTGCCTGGAGATGGGGGAGGGCGTCAGCCTCCCAAGGGTGGCATCTGACAAGGTAGCTGCAGCAAACAGAGCAGAATAAAATTCTGCCTTTAACCACTCTGGTGGGAAACATGACTTGAACTCAAGCTGATGGGCAGGGAGTAACAGCCATTAACCACATCAAATGCAGGGTAGATCCACCCCATGCAGAGACACCAGCTGGGTGAAAGCCATCATGCTTAGGGGCCTTGACTCTGCTCATGCAGCTCTTCATTAGCAGCAGTTCCAAAAGGTCTGTGATTAGGAGACAATTACAGATGTTAAACAGAACGCTCACGGAAGAGCTGGGCTTCTTCTAGGGACTGGAGCAGCTCCCAACATGTCTGCGAGGCCTGAATCAACAGCAGGTCAATTGGCACTTCTTGGGAAGCAAGTGAGAGTCATCTCAACAGGAAACCCAGGATCAGCCCACCACAAAGGCCTTATGTGAGAATGAGGTACTCAAGCCTAAAACTGATGCAAAAATGCCCCAGCTTGCAGCAAGCTGCCCTATTTTTATGCAAGTAACCAGCATTTAGTATGAGCAGCTTTGCAATTTTTATTACTTGTTTTTTAAATGCAGCCCTCAGTTTGTTGAGCACTGGCCGCAAACCTTCCCTGGCGTGCTCAGATTCCCCTGCCAAACTCCTTCTGCAAAGCTGAGGGGTTGCTCTTGTCTACAGTCAGGAGGAGATCTGGGCATTGATGCATCCTGAAAGCACAAACAGTACCTGAGGGCAGGTATGGGTGGCTGAAGGAGTGTGTTTCCATCTTTTCCAGTGAAGGAGCCATTGCAGATCAAGGCCTTCTCTAGAGGCCAATCACCGCTCTGGGGAGGCATAAGCTCCGACCCGGTACCTACAACCCACGTGGTGTTCTGGGGTGGAGGAGGGAGGTTCAGTTTCAACTCTCAGCGTGTCCAAGAGGTTCGTTAAAGAAAAGATGGGGTTTGAAACTGCCTGGTTTGGGAAACAGGCTGATACTTCTGGGGAAAACCACCCCTTCATGGAGTGAATTCAGAGAGACGTGCTGAAAACTGGGACTGCTACAATAAAAGAGTAAGTAAGTGCGTCAGCGCAGTCTAAGGCAGAGTTTCGAGGGACGTGTACGGCCGCGGTCTGGAGTAGTGAAGCAGTGCAAGCCAAAAGCCTAATTAGAAAAACACGTACTCGTCAAAATCGTACACAAAGAGCATTTTGTATGGGTTACAAAGGAACAATGTGGGTATGAGGAAGAACAGACTGCCGTCCCAAAATGTGAGCCAAGAGCTTGTGCAGGTCTTTTTTTTGAGTAAAACTGAAAAGGACAACAACAAGGCAGAAGCAGCACACATTTGGGGTGGGAGACAGCGCACAACAGCACAGCCCAGGAAACCTGGGCAGAAACCTTTGGTTTTGCTGCTTACACTGGTGAACCTAATACTTTTCTCCTAAAAAAAAAAAAAACCCAAACACCTACTTTTCTGCTTTGCCAGCTTGACACTTGCACACAAAGGGTTAATACCCTCCACCTCTTCCAACCTGAGCAAGGACAGCTCTACCTCAGAAGCAGCATCCAGGCCCCAGCAGCAGATGACATGAAACCACCTACAATATCCCCTTCCCACAGACTTGTTCACTGATGGAAGTGCTTCCTCTTCTCCAGAATGGCATTATAAAGAGCTGAGCTGCACCGATCGATAGACAGAAACCAGAATAATGCTCCTGACACACTACTGAGCAGATGAAACTGCTCCCCGTTAGTTGATGTAGCTGCTGCAGTGGATCGAGATGTGCCACATGAGCAGATCTGGCAGGTGCGATTTATGCTGACAAAAACGGGCATCTAACACATTGTTCATTTGCCTCTAAAAAAAGAGCTTTCAGTTCTTAGAAAAACTGTAGAAGTGATCAGAAATTATTTAAACTGCTAAAAACGAAGGGCTTTGCCTTCATTTCCTGGAGGGAGACATAGTGATGACTCACAGCTCCACACTGCTCTACATCCGGATGACTGACTTAACGACAGAAAAACAATACAGTGAAGGAAAAAGGCAAGCTTGCAGCCATATAGACAATACACAAGTCACGAGAAACGAGTGCCCTACACTGAAGTGCTTTCACTTGGTTACTGTCAGCTTCTCAGCTGCAGCAAAGCACCACTGAACCAACCCTCAGCCCAGGCTGGGGTACAGCTCTGAGTTAGTCTCAGTTTGGAGCCCTAATTCCAGGGTAGATTGGTCCTCAAAAGTACCTTGCCTTCATGATCTGGAGATCTTAGGTAGCATGTAGGATTGGAGGCAACGGGAATATGGCACAAAGTTTATAAGATACTGCAAATAAATTCCACCTGGAATTAGTAGGTGCAATTTTCCCTGATCTCCATTCAGTAGCCTAAAGGCGGACAAAACCCATGTGCAAGTGTTTGCAGGTGGACACTGCTTTCACAGCAAAAAACCCATTTTACTTCAAGGCAGCTCATGGGAGGTGCGAGGGAGTGAACTCTAACCAAGCCATAATGAGGGTGCGGAGGGCAGGCTTCTTCCCAAACAAAACAAACGCAGTAACCAGCTTTCAAGCCGTCAGGAGCCCACCCATATACCTCCCAAGAGCAGCAACTGCTCCGATGGAGCACTGCGAGATGGATCTTCAGCACAGAATGTCCGTTTTCAAGGGGAGAAAGCACCTTCCCCGATCTGTAGCAGACACCTCAGAGGGCGGTCAGCAGGGGCGAGCTTGGGCCCAGCCTTACCTTTACCATTGCTTGGGGAAGGAGAGAACAGCAGCCACAATTCTCAGTCCATGACAATACTGAACCCACACCCAGCAGAAAACACAGTGGCTCTTTTCTCCCCATTAGGTGTGCTCTTCAGTCCTAGCCTTATACTTTAATATGAATTGCTGGTTATAAACATCCTGATGAAATCCCAGCTTGGATGGTTAGCTTGTTTCTTGTCAAAATCCAACCTTCCGCCCTGACCCAAAGAGTCAGTGTTCCGTCTCCGGCAAGTGCCACCGGGAAGCACACACCCTGGTCGTACCACCTAGCCCTGTGTGGACGCCTTGTTCACCCTCCCAATACCTCAGATGTCATTAAATGTGTACAAGTGCCTGCTTGAAACGTTCCCTAGAAGCAATTCTGCCTTCAGAAATATTACCTTGCCAGCATGCTTTGCTCAAAAGGAAGGAGTATCTAATTAGTGCACGGTAACTCTAGTTGGCAGCACAAAGGTGTACTTTACCAAAATCCAGTGTCGGAGCTCAGAGGATTTTGCACCAGCACACAACTGGGTGCGTCCTATCTTTTAAGACACCCGTAAATCCTTCCAGAAAGACTTTACTAGAACACGATGGAAGACAGCAGCTATTTTCTCGTGGTACGGCTTCTGAAACTGGACAGAAACACCACCGTGTGAAATCACCTCCCAAGTTAAGACAAACACTGCATCTAAGAGTCAATATTTATTTGATTAATAACTTACAAAATTTAAGATTTAATTTATGTAAGGAGAGCTAATTTATTAAACATTTTACAGATTATTTTGTTCACAATGTAATACATCAAGATCTCGACAGTATTAAAATAATACTTGGCACAGTTATAAATAAAGAATATACAAAAAAATCCATAGCTTAAAATGTAGTGATGCTGTTTTACACATTAATTGGAAAAAAAAAGATAACCCAATCTGGTGGACATCAAAGAATACAGAAACCTGCAAAGAAACAGCACATGTTTAGGGCCAAGACAAAATTCCCATTTATTCTACCTACGTCAGATTCAGTTGGTCTGATCTGCTCTTGGTCTGGATCAGCTTTGTTAAGTTTCAGAAGCAATGCAGTTTTGGTTCAACAAGTGGATTTTAAGTTTGATAACTTGACAGAAAAATGCTGCATCGTTGGCTCCCCCCTGCTTGACTTTGTGATTTCACATCAAACGATTCGCTGTTACTCAAGACAAGTTACATTTTGCACTGGAAACTTCACATATCCCCAACCCGCGTATGCAAGTTAATTTTCACATCTACCTGCTCTTGCTCAAACTCTGCAGGTCTCAACAAAACCGTCACCGGAGAGCTGTCAACAAGTAAATAGCGCAGAACTCGCTACATACCGCCACAGATCACCTCTTCCCTGCGAAGGTTTTTGACGTGGAACTGCATGACACAATTCGTGGCAGTTAATGCTACTGGGCAACTAAAACCAAAACTTGTATCACGTACGGAACTGCTCTTCTGGTGCAAGGCGACGTTTAACAAAGTGGACTGAAGTTCTTCAAGTCAACCGACCCCCAGCAGAAATGTGAAAAAACAAATCACGAACAACTAAGCAGAACATTTCTGGTGATTAAAATAAACGACATCGTGAAGTCTCCATGCTTTTTTCTGATGAGAAAAAACTGTGAGTAACCGACATCAACAGTTTTCACTGAAACAGCGTGTCTTCGTTAGGACTACAAATTTTGTCTGACAAAAACAGCAAGAAGGTTCTTGCCACTCCCACACCCAAACCTCGCCCATTAAAACTGTGTCCAAGACGATGTTGATTTTTCCAGTATTAAACGTTCGAGTACTCTAATGCTGCACTTCTGTAAATCCTGATATCTGGTACTTGCAGACTAAGTGTGTGTCTTGAGATCAACGAACAACTACAGAAGAAATGTTTACTTGCAAATACTGAACATCAACTATTTACAGTTTCACTGCTCCTCTTACTAAGGCAAGGGCCGGGAATACCACTAGATTGCTTTATTACCTGTAATCTGCATATTACAGAAAACGCTAATTTTGCCAAGCATCAAACATGCAGTGAATTTGCAGGGCATAATGCCTATTAACAGCAATATTGAACATCACTAAAAGCTCATTAGATATCTTCCTACACTTCTTTTTGGTTGAATAAAATGAAAATGAGCAGCTTTAAATACACTAAACACACACTCACAGAGAGAAAACTATTTGATAAATTATTTATATACAGATACACATTCTTTACACTGGTCTCAGACATCTGCTTTCAGGTCCCTCCCCAAACTCCCCTCACAGGTTTCTCGAACCACTGGGTTGCTACAGCACTTAGAAGAGAACTAACCTGATTCTCAGTCTCTCTGTAAACAATAGTTAAGGAAGCAGTGAACAATTCACTATGAGTATACGAAAACACCATAACAAAAAAATCAGTGCATCACATTCAAGAAAAGCCCCTGTGGAATGCAATTTCAGATCATTCCTTACCTTCCAAACGTATCTGTAGCATGAGAACTTAAAAAAAAAAAAAGAAACGGAGGGTGATTTCCATATGCCACTACACCGCCGCCTTCAGAACGCTGCGTTAGGTTTTCTGTGCGCGCGTGCTACTGTCGGGGTTTTTCACGCTGCTGTTTTGAAATTTCCGTTTCTGTTACTTTACATCCAAACAAAATAAGCATTTCAGGCAACTGTGGGTTCTTCTTCCGCAGTTGCATTCGATTTCAAACTATCTCATCTTTCGATAACTGAGGTTTCAACTGTCACATCTGCGGTCTCCCCCAAGCAATTTCTCTTTCAACGTGTCTCCAACGACACTACACTGTACCAGGACCAGACCTGGCAGCAAAACCTCGCTACTTTGCAAGTTGCTTATAAAATTACTTCAAAGATAATGAACCTTTTTCACTTTTTTCCTGAACATTATATACTGTAATCTAGTTTCACAGGTGTGTCACCCATTTAAGAGGGGCTTTAACTTCAAGAGAAGAGCTTTCCTTACTGGCACCACTGTTTATGTCAGGCTGTGTAACCTTAGAACAGGGTGATCACAAGTACTTAGTTGTACCACTAACTAGTGGCAATCACCAAAAAAAAGTGGGCAACGTATTTTTCTCTCAACGTTACCCGACGTGCCCTACTGCTATAACTTAACACGCTTAATCCCACCATGTGATGTTCATAGCAGTACTGAAAAGCACAATTTCCAATGTACATCGTACTACAGAAAATCTGTATTAAAAAGATCACATTATAGGAACTACAACACAGCGATCAGTGAACTGCATCATGAAATTTACTTTTATATGCTAGAACCTTGTTTTGGTGTAATTAATTGATCTTGGGAAATAATTTTTTCTGCTCAGCACAATGTAACTACTTATGTCAATACTTCAATAATCTCATGCTCCATTGTGAAAGACCTTAAATAAAAAACCCAACAACAAATACTGTGAATATGCTGTCGTGAATAATTCTCATGTTAAGAACTGTTAAAATCCCTTTTTGATCTTCCTCCTCTTCCTTATCGGGTTTGGCAGTTTATTCTGTCCATTTTTACTTTTGTTAATAAAATTCTGATGAAGAGAAGGTACCTTAAGATTCATCATCAGCCCTACACATAGCATGCTACTCTTCAAGGGATGCGTATTCGAGAGAGAGAGAAAATTTTTCAGGCACCACTCAGATATGATATGCTCGCAGGATGAAGGTGGTGCTACACTAGCTGGTAGCCTGATCCTGAAGTTTGGTCGTATTCTATTGTGTACTGCCTTGTCCAGTCCACAATAACAGGCCGAAAAAGACCACAGCATCTGAATTCAAAGAAGTCTATAATGTTCCTTATACATCCATGGCTAAAAACAAAACAAAACCACATGTTAGTAAGCAATATCACAGGTCATCTAACAAAGTACAACTTTTTTTGTCTACCTACAAATTCAATTCTTCACCCTTGAAGTTCCCAACTGTAGAAAGCAAATTCAATTAAGAATTATCTTAGTGCTTGCTGAGGGGCAAGTTCTGAAAGAAGTGGCCACCAGACTGGTGAATAAGAACCTTGGACAGAACCAAGACATAACTTTCCTCCACTGTTGAGCACAACCGTATGAAGAAACATAACATGTTACTGGCAGTGCACCATCACAGAATCACAGTGTCTTTTTGGTTGGAAAAGACCATTAAGATAATCAGGTCCAACCACTTACCTGACACTGCTAATACCACCACTAAACCATATCCCTAAGCACCTCGTCCACACATCTCTCAAATCCCTCCAGGGATGGCAACTCCACCACATCCCTGGGCAGCCCACTCCAATGCCTGACAACCCCTTCAGTGAAGACATTTTTCCTAATATCTAATCTAAACCTCCCCAGCACAACTTGAGGTCATTTCCTCTTGTCCCGTCACTCGGGAGAAGAGACCCACACACCTCTCTGCAACCTCCTTTCAGGTAGCCGCAGAGAGCAATAAAATCTTCCCTGAACCTCCTCTTCTCCAGGCTAAACAACCAGAGTTCCCTCAGTCGCTCCTCACAGGACTTGTGCTCCATCCGTTGCCCTTCTCTGGACACACTCCAGCACCTCAGTGTCTTTCTTTTAGTGAAGGGCCCAAAACTGAACACAGGATTCGCAGTGCGGCCTCACCAGTGCCCAGTAGAGGGGACAATCACTGCCCTAGTCCTGCTGGCCACATTGCTCCTGATGCAGGCCAGGATGCCACTGGCCACCTTGGCCACCTGGGCACACTGCTGGCTCATATACATCTGGTTGTTGACCAACACCCCCAGGTCCTTTTCTGCTGAGCAGCTTTCCAGCCACTCGTCCCCAGGCCTGTGGCGCTGCAGGGGTTGTTGTGGCCCAAGCATAAGACTCAAAACACTGCATCCCAATGTGTACTGCCTTGCCAAGTAGCGTAGCATGGTCATCCAGATCCCTTTCTAAGAGGAAAGTTGCATTGTATAGATGGATGCAAGACAAAACAGTATGAAGTCAATGTCTTCCCAGAATAATTTCCATTTTTATTAATATCTATTTCTGTCATACATAGTGGTTCACCAGTTGCAGGCCTAAGATAAATTAAGTCCCTAGATAACACAAAATTAAGAAGGCATTATCTGAATTAAATGAACTATTCAGATGGTTTCCGCTGCTGAGTCAATTGTCAAATATTTAGGATACCTACATCAAAATTCCAGCATGTTGGGGTTTTTAACTGAAGTACACATGGGCTAAATAGATGACGGTTTTCTGGAAGAGAAGCTCGTTACAATATATGCAAGAGCAGGTCTAAGCAATGAGATGACAGCTACTTGCTGTCGATGCTGCAACTGACAGGTGTGCAAGTCAGTTATTTTAGACAACTGGTGCTATTTTCAGGTGTAATTTTTATAATAGCAGCTATTTCAGTGAAAATGATTTCTGAATGTGACATTAATTTGGAGATAAAACCAGTATTTTTTACCTATCTCGTACACCACCCTGTGTTCTTCAGGCAAAATAATTATCTGGTTTTGTTACAACTGTAAGCTGTAGGAACACTGAAACCATGCAGAGATGCCTGTCTGCTTCTCACTGGAAGTTTTGTATGGAGAGATATTAAAAAACAATCACACACTTATCTTTCCTAGCCAAAAAAACCAAACCACAACAATAACCCCTACCTCCTGTTGCCCTGGGTGTCACCTGAAAGAGCAGCAGCTCCCACAGGAGACACAGCATGTACAGCAGGATGAGACATATTTCTGTCTTTTCCCTGATCCTTTTGAACGTGCCCTCAACTCACCAAAATACCAGCCTCAGGACTTCATTTATTTCCTGCTTCGGCTCCACAAGCTGCTCCATGCTGCCATATTCCCATCCCAGTGCTATTTCATCCCTGAGCCTCCCTCGTTCAGCTTACACCCTCATCGCTACAGAAACCAGAATCCCAACCTACCCTTTACATACTGGCCCCCCAAAGACCATGTCTCGGTTCCTGGGATGCCCCGCTCACTTCCCCAAAACCAGCTTTGCCCATCCTCTTCCTCCTGAGCCAGAAAGAAGTGATGCCTCTTTTCTTACGGTAACGAGAGCAAGGGGAGCTACTGCACACAGCACATTGAACAGCACATGAAACATCAGTCAGGAGAAAGTGCCTGCTGTGGAAGTGAAGATCCAGGTCAACACTGAGACCATGCCATAAGCAACTACCTCTGGTCTGGGCATCTGACTTATAAAGAGGATATTTATTTCCCCATAAACCCTACAGCATAATACGACCACTGCAGGAAAGCATTCTTTTCTGTGTTTATGCATCCCTGTCTAGAGTCACTTGAAAACATTTCCCACTTCCTTTAACTGGATAGAATGTGTTACTGCAAAAATAGCTGACAGGTTCAGCATTCCAAGTAGTGAAAATATTCTAAAAGTATTTACCCATGTTCTGTTTCAACAGGCTGCCCAATTCAAACATATGCAAGGGTACACAAGGAAGAAATACATTTACACTTCAAAACTTACTTGAATGGGCTTTCAATAGATGTGGTTGTGACTTTAAAGTGCTTGTATCTTCTTGCATTCATTCTTTCATTTGTCGTGATACCCAAGCAAGATATCTGACAACAGGAAACAGAATAAGCAATTTAGCTCATGTAAAAACATGCGAAACAAGCCCTGTGTGAACCAGACTGAAAAAGGAGGACCACATTTACTGTTTTATGTTCTTTCTTTTGAAGAAGGAATTTTTGTCTGAGGAAATTGTGAGGTCCCAACATAAGCCACCATACAACAGCTGTACCAGACTCTGCACATGGTTTGATTTTGAAAGTGATCAGAGAGAAATCATGACCACTGAATAAACTGTGACTTCTTACTTCATAAGAAAGAGATGCCTTTACTGCTACTGTAAATAACATTCAGAAATTACTTTACACAGCATATGAACAACTTTCTTTTCCTCCTGACATTCTGGTTATAGCTCCAATAATATATTTTTTCGTCATTTATAGATTTGTTGCAGTAACGTAACTTTTCCGTTTGCAAGACAAAAAGGTGACCAGAAAAAAGGTGGGGGGTTTTGTTGTTGCTTGTGTTTCTTCCTTTTTACAGAATCATTTTGCCCAAAGGCTATGATGTTCTGTAACAGCTTTCCTACTACATCAGTCTAAAAGGTTATCTTACGTAAAACAGGTTACATCATGTTACAGTAAACTCCAAAATGTGAGAACTCCCTTCGCAGCCTTATACTATAGGAAGAGAAAATCTCCTAATTCCTAGTGAAATACAGAAAGTCATTGCTGCTGCATGTTACATAAGCAAGAACATTTAAAAAGTTAAGTTTGGGGCCATCTTGCCTCATTTGGATGTACTCACTATCTCAAGGATTTTCTTCACCTCCATGAAACCCCATGAAGTCTCATGTCTGTGTATACAGACAGGCTCTCAATGGCCAACTTTTGATGTAAGAAGTAAAGGTCTCAAAATCTTCTTCTAAGATATTAGGTAGTATTTTGACAATAACTGGCCAGTTCAAGAAGAACAGAAGTCTAAACTTTATGATGGAGAGGGAAAAATAAAGCAGCAAGAGTAGGGGCTGCGCAGTTACAAATCAAAAGCTGCAATTCAAAGAACATCTTTATCGATTTCATCATTATGACAAATTCCAAAGAGATTTGCCAAGAGAAGTTTTACATTTTCTATGTGTAAAACTCCTAGGGAATTTAGTAATATGATGGTGTGTTTAGTTTTAATTTTTCCAGGATTATTAGAGAAGTCAAATGCTAGAATTACTTTGCTTAATTACACTAATGATACAAAATACTACAAGATGTACTGTTCCAAGTGGCATCATTCAAAGATTCGTCTGTACACAGATCGTATTAACAGGAAGCCTCAATGGGGGACTTATGAATCACGATGTAAGTACGACAGAAGTCTCCCCAGAAAGTTACATGGTTATTCTGCTAGAAGTCTGGTGGGTAAGGCTGCTTTGAAAGCCACCTGAAACTCACTTCTGCTGCTTTGTCTTGGGCAGGGAAGATCTCTAAAACACTGAATGGTTCTTGCTCATACATGTAAGATTTTGAAATTTATATATGTTGTAAATGATACTGCTGTAGAGAAAAGACAACAAAACTTCAATTCACTGAAAAGTTTTACCAAAGCCTGAGAGGATTTTCTTTATTTCCAGGATCTCTGGAAAGACTAAATCAGTGTCTCACAGTTCATTAACGACAAGTCATACCGAAAATGTTTCAAGGCATACTTAAAAGCTTTCGGTATGACTTGTCTTTCCTTAAAAAGGATAAAGCAAATATTGGGTTTGGTCAGTTTACAGTACAGTAATGTGACCTCAAACCATACTGAAGCAGTGTAAGAAATTAATCCATCTCCTTTGAAGTTACCACCCTGTTTCTGCTAATGACACACTGCATTATTCCAAGTCCGACCCACAGATCTTATCCTGTATTAGTCTTTATTGCCTTTCCCTGGTCTGTTTTGCCTTTTTGTCATCCTGAGAATAGAAAGCAGGAGGTAAGCATTTTAATCTCTTTGAAAAAAAAGCGCAAGTGAATGACACCTAATATCCAGAGACAACAGATGCCCTTCTCCTCCAGCTGGCTGAGAGACTGAACACTTGGTCATGCATAATGAACATTAAAATCTAAATGACAGAACTATCTGACATTCTTCTGTCACTCCCAAGCCTCAGCATTACAACAGACGTGCCCTTCCATACCTGGTACATCTGACACATGAGTAACACAGCCACCCACATGAAGTGAAAAACACTGTTTAGAAACATCCAAAACATCCAGGGAGAACAGGTAGCAATCTGTGTAATGTAGGTCCAAAATCCATCCTTCGCATAACTTGTCTCACAGTGGAAACCCCAGTCTAGAGAAAAAAACAAAGTGTCAAAAACCATACAGAAGATTTAAGATATGTTTACTGTGCACCGACATAATGCCCACATTAGAATTTATTAAATTAAATAAGATAATGACAATGTGCTAAAATAGTTTTACTTGCCCTCTCTTCCTTTCCCAACTCCCTGACTACATGACACATACTTGGCTGTGATGAGGAAAAACATCTAGTACAAGACAAACATCATCCTCTGACTTAAAATACCCCATACAGTCGATTATTAATATGCAGTTCAATTCCAGAATAAAAATATCCAAAACTCCTATAAGGCAGAAACCTGTAAAAATCCACACCAAGAGATAAACAAAGTATTTAAAATCAATTTTTAAAAAGCTCAAAAAACACATTTACTCACAAGAGATACATCCATAAATCATCCAGCAGATCATAAAAAGTAGGAAGAACAGGTATCCCATGAAATAGCGATGGTTCCCTGCTCCTGAAGTTGCCCAACAACAGAGACCAAATTACAACACGTTCAGAAGAAAGACAGCACTACACCACAAAGTGTAATTCCTTGCTCGGGAGTACTGCTTGTTACTGCATACAGAAACATTACTCTCCAATATTAAGCCAGTGTGACTCTGACACAGTGAAATTAACTGGGTTTACTTATTTTTGTTTGTTTTTTTTTTTTTCTATTTCTCAGACAACAAAGCTGTCTTTATTTTTTTCCAATTTATGTCACATTATAGCCACCATTCAGAGAAATGCATTTCATTTGTAACCTCTTTCATGAGCTAATAACATTATTGACAGACAGTGTTTAGAGCAATGTTGGCGACGGCTGGTTGCAGAGTCCTGAACAGCCAGGAATTACACATCAATAAGTTTTTTTTAAAATTCCATTTAAAAATTGTCAGACTCCCGAGTTCACTTTCTTAAGAGAAACTTAAGCATGAATAAATATACAACCTCCCTTGATAATAAGCTAACTCACAACTTAGGTTTAAACCTGCTTGATGAAGCTAGCTAAAAATAAAATATCTAATAGAGCTTCTACAACAAATACATGTGACTGAAGCGACGAGGCCTAACATCCTGGCTAAAATAATGAATGGGATAAAGCCATTCTGCTTAAGACAGAATTTAAATGCAAGAAAATTCAGTTACTAAAGGATTGATCTATTTTTAACTATAACAGAGCTAAAAAGATGCCTCAATGTATGTCATAATTCTTGAAGTACTTGGCCTTCCTTCTGTTTGTAAAATACGTCCACTGTTGCAACCTTCCAACAGCTCCAGCCTGCAAACTAACCCCACAGAGATGATAACCAGCTACAAACGATTTGGCACAGCAGTTACTTCATTATGTCAAAAGTTTTGCCTGCTAAAACAAGAGCATCCTCTGGAGGCAGAAAATAATCAAGTGCTTTTAGCAAGTGAACTGAAGGACTATATAAATAAGAGATGAGGAAGAATACACATACAACACAAACTAGACTAAACACAAGTCGTTTCCTTGAAAATCAAACAAGTTCCTTCAGACATATGTTGTAACACTGCCTTCAGTCACCTAAGAGCACATGCGAAACAGTGCTGGGAACGTCCCTAAGGTACCCCTTTCATGTGCATTCTAAATTTCAGAACTGTTAAGTTTCATAAAAGACTTTTTTTTTTTTTAAACAAACGTAAATTAAATGGTGACCTAGAGCACCACCTGGGAAGTATCTGATGAGATGCTTCCTTCAGCAGCATCTTCCATGATACTAAACTGAATTCTGCTGAACAGGAAATCTATCTGCATTTGGCAAAAAACATATGTGTAGCATTTAAAGCTACAAATGAGACAGGCACAATCTCAGTCACAGTTTAAAAAAAGCCTTTGGAAAAAGGAAGTGGAGAAACTGCCTTTCCTCTGTATCTTAAGAGCACATTGGGCAAAACACAGCACTATTCTCCACAGTTTCAGCCTGGATTGGCAGGAACAGTCAGTTATCCTCCACAGTTACAACAATGCTGTGAGAACTGTTGCTAATTTACATTGTTGTGCTTGTATTATATGCAAGTAATAACATACAACAGAGAGAATCAATTTTTTACTGATGGCGTTACACTGCATGATTTAGAATGTTTGTTCATTTCTTAGTATTTCCTACTTTTAGCTCCTTGGAAAAGAATCTTTAATGGGAGGGGGAAGAAGTGATCTAAACCATGAAATAATTGCTCATATACACAAGACCTACCAAGTTACTGCTATCAGAACTGTAATTCAGCACAACGCCAGCATAACCCCTAAGAGTCTGAAATTTGGCTCTAGCTCCCTTCATACTATTACTCGAAAATAGAATTTGTTGCAAGTCTGCAGTTTGTGTTTGAAACACAACTATAAGTTTAATAAAATCTGCTATTTTTCATTTTGAAAGAGCCAACTGTAACAAAAATCATGAATTCTTGACATTCCATTAAAAAGATGAGTTTAATCACCTTCAGAGAATCGCTCACCGTAATTTTAACCAAAATTTTGTGGGTTATGATTAAAGTAGTTTGCCTCAACTGCCAACTTAATTACTTTTCAAATTGTCTGTACTTTCTGTCAACCTTTTCAGAATGGTAAAAATATGCTCACTCAGTCTCTTTATATGCCAAGTTTTATCCCCAAAGGTCTTTAGAGTATCTGTACACACTCGTACAATATTTCTCAGTCCTATATTTAGTAAAATTCTTATCCTTCTAACACATCCAAAAGAAGATTGCATAAAACATTTCCAAATTCCACCTTTCCAGAAAGGCGTGATTCATGTTTTCCTTTTTGGCAAACATACCATGAATGCTGTTTTAAGAATGGATTCTGTTTTGTAACCCTATCTATGCTCAGAGTCACCACGTACCAATCTGAGACACAGAAAAGCCATATAAGGTCATTCAGACCATCACTCCCTCCAGTTCCAGGCTGGTCCCACAGTGTGATTTCCAATGCTTTTTTCCCCTGCATACTTTCAAGTGTTCTAATATTTATTTTTACCTCCAGTTACCCCAATCTGTACAAGACCACTAGAAGGAGGATTCTCCTTTTCCATTATCATTGTTTTTTTTTTTAAAATTTCCTACATCTATCTCAATCTCATTAATTACATCTTCTCATATTACACTCAAACGAAGGTCTTTCCTCCCCCATCTGTGTTTTATGCTATTGCAGTTACTGATTAAGATACTGGATCTTTCCATCCCCTTGACAAGTATTCCTCAACACTCTTCAAAACCTGAGCCCATGCTCCCCTGCCTGTTTTAATTAGAAGTGTCTTAGTTTTTCATTGTAAAACATCTAAAATATAAATCAAAAGTAGCTCAAGTAATAACAACAGTAGGAAATACAAAGTAGAAGGGAATGATGCAAGTCCATCTTCAATAAGACTTTAGTGATATTCTATTACAATTCAAGCAATAGCCAGCACTGACTATTTTACTCTTAATCATAAGACCAAACCACTGTGACTATCCATTATTATATATATTTGGAAGGACTACAATGAAGCATTCATTGGCTGTCAGCTGTCAATGAACCCAGGTCCTAATTCCTCCCAACAATTTAAGCTACCTCTGGTTGTGTCCTAAAAAAGAAAAACCAACAGTGAAGCAAGCTGCACTCATTCCTAGCTATGAATTCTTCAGTGCTCCCTGCATAATAATGCAGTTTCAAATAACTCTCTCAAAAAGTGTGACAGGGAATAGAACCACTTAGAGACTTTATTTCTGTTCTATATCCGCTCCTTTCACCATCACTGGGGTGAATAAATGACTACATGGGGGGTCAAAAAGAGGAGAATACCTCAATAGAAAGTCATTCTGTATCTAACTGCTATAATCGTACGTTTTTGAATACGTATACTTTCCCATTAAATTACTAAAAATTATTGGTAAAGATGAGAATTTTAATCTTCTGTAATGGGTAACAGCTGCAGAAGTGGTACATGCCTCTGCAGCAGACATTAAAGCAGCAAAGCTGTGCATCTTTTAATTACCAGATGTATGTTAATACAAATATATACACAGGACGCTGAATTAGACACAAACCAATCCTGAGGACATATATATAACAGCCAATGTAAATGAGAATAATGCAGAGAATTGCATATAGAAAAAAAAATTAAGCTCAATATTGAAAATGTTTTTCATTCTACCAAAAGTCCTCAACAGTTTTTCCTCAGGCTTTGGCAGAAACCAAGTCACTTTCACCGTGAAAGGAGAAAAGACAAAACCCCACACAACACCCAGGGTCAATTTCAGAAACTTTGCCCTTCTTCATCTGTTAAAACAACACCTTATTTTAGAAAAATCACTCACCTACACAGTTACCCACCCATGGGCAGTGGTGATCAAACTTCGCTATACATCGATTGCATACACCACAGTGTTTGGACCTCACTGGCTTCCGTATCTGTAACAGTTATTAACATTTGTTTAGAAAAGCAAAAGCCCTAACATAATAGAAAAAAATCCCTCAATTTAAATGCAAGTTGATTTTTCTATTGTTTAAGTTAGAGAACTTCAAACTTGATGCTAATTTTTAAAGCAATCTTAGCTATTAAGCTTAATCTATATACCATTTACCACAAACATCTATACAACCCCACTCAAATTATTTTCACACTATTTTTGTTACATAAAGGATTACTTTTGCCATACAAAGTTCTATCACCTCCAGCTACTGAGCTCTGTATAGCAACCAGATTCGATTCAGCTTTTTAACAATGAAAACACAGAATGAGTTTCCATGATGCTGTCAGTATCACTCATAACTGAGCTCTAACAAACTCTTCCAGTGTATTTTCTAAAAACAGAAATACGACTCAACAAGTGGAACTTGGTGGAATTTAAAATGTTACATTACTTCCAACAATTTTTTAAGTTTATTTTTTCAAATAAATATAATGTAGCAGTAAGAAAAGAACTGATATGAAAGTGTTCCGATAGGCACACATACGTATATACACACACACAAAATTTTTAAGGTGCCACATCTGTAAGTAAGTTTCCAGATTCAATTTGGGGAATATTATGTCCTACATAGGTCAGAGCATTATTGTGATAATTTTTGATAACTGGTAATTTTATATTCATTAGTTAACTTTCTAAACAAAGAATCACATTACGTTTACTACGGTTACTTTTTTTTTTTCCTTAAGCAGTTGCACCACACAGTTTTGCTGTACCAGAGGTGGTGGAATGTCAACTCTGCTTTCCATAAATTGTTAGGTGTATAACCAATCACCTTGGCAGATAGACTGAATACTTGGATTTGACACTGTAAAGTTATTTTCAGTGATTTTTTTTTTTCCTTTCATTGTTGCAGGTTTTTTGTGTACAGATTAATTATTTATTGAAAACACTGCTTAAAGACTGCAAATAAATCCTGTCCTTGAAATTGCATTATTAAGGCCAAAATGGGGTCAGTATAGGAACATCTAACTTTGGCCTAGCATTAAAAGAAAATCAGTGCTGCAACTGATTTAAAAATACACTACCAAGCAGGTACTGCAGAATATACTGAGGTCCAGACTTCCTGTCTCCGCAAGTTCTACTATTGTCTGCAGGAAAAAAAAAAAAAAAAATTAGAATTTGGCATATAAACAAATGCTGGCAACCATTGTAATAGCTGCTTTTCAGAACCAGGGCTGCAAACTCTATTCATTTCAGACTCTGTCTACACACAGGAACAACTTAAATTCAGCTGAAACTGATTTTGAAACTACTTTATTAAGCCAATATGCACATTTCCTCCTAAATTAATTCTAGTTTATACTTATTCCTAGTCTATCTAGGTTTAATTAGTGAAAAAGCAAGCTTATATGAATTTTGATACATCCACAACTGTGATTAGCACCAGTTTGACTAATGTGTTGTTAATTCTATTAAAATTAATGCAGTTGAACTCCCAAACAGGAACATAAACAAAACTAGCCTGCAGGATCAGCCAGCCTAAAAACCAGATCTTCTTTGCAGAGGTATCCCATCAAACACTTTAAATCTCTATTTGCCTCTTTCCTCAGATGTTGAGGCTTCAACAAGAAAACAAGTAATGCAAACCAAACCTCCTCTTACAGATAATGCTACGCTTATGGGTCAAGAAGCAGGTTATCAGCTAATGCATGCCCACACCTCCACACTAAATGATAGCGTTTCTTATTTTGTACACTCCTTCAGCAACCACTTCAGTGATGGAATAGAAGGAACCTATTATTCCATTACACATTTACCAACAAGTTCCAAAATTCAGCCACTGAAATAACGCCACGGAGACTTAAGACATTTGCAACATACGGAAAATAACCCGAAAACATCTTCTGCCGTAACAACCTTCCTTGAACTCAGCATAAATAGCCTAATGACAAATAGATTCATCTACTGCTGCCTTTCACACCACAGATACCTTACTCATCAACGTGGTTTCTAACTGCAGATGCACCAGAATAGTTCTTACAACTATTTTCTCATCATAGCCATGTGATAGTAACTTCCTGATGACCAAAGGTGGGTATCTTGACAGAAGTCGCAGAAGTTTCCCTTCAAAATACAACACTCAATAATTAGTCTAGAAAAATTTATGGAAATTTTTCCTCAAACTAATCAGGGACAGTCAACAGTCCAGGAGTAGTAAATCAGTGCCTTAATGCCTTCTCTGCTGATCTCACGTAAATGAGGGACAATCTTTACAGTTTTTCTACAGTTCTTAACTAAGCTCTGAAAGGTGGACGTATTTGTTTTTCCTTGCTTGTTGCATTTCCTTTTGCTATTGGCCCAGTATTCTTGTCTCTAGCGCTGCAACCCTTCAGATCCCCTCTCCAACCGACCACTGCCAAGCCCTTCCATGTCCCTGCTGCAGCTTGCCATCTTCAGTGCTATACATCCCTTTCTCACTCTTCTCTGCCATCCCTCGCTGCTCTAATATTTCCCATAACAGGATCTGAAATGAGAGGGCCTCCCTCACAACAGTAACTTCTGTAAACTAACCAGCTGAACAGAAAGCAAAAAACCCCAACGTGATTTCAATGCTGCTGGTGTGTTTTTTGACACCTGGGACAATTTCATACAAAACATTTTGGACAATATCAGAAACAGTTCCGCTGATTTCGGTGGGAGCATACGCTACACTACAGACCAATGAAAGGATGCACAGAGGAATGTACATGGTGTGATGCTCAATGCTGGAGTTGAGTATTGCCCACAAGCAAGATCCCAAAGCTCAAGAGAACTGAACAAGAACAGACAAACCACTTCTCAATGTAACTCTCCTTAGAGCTTACTGCAGTAGAGAGAACCAGGAGTACTCAAGTTAGAGCCACATTTCTGTGTTTCATAAACCTTATGTCTATTTCCTGTGCTTTGCAACTACTCGTGTTTGATTGTGAAAACTTAATTTTTCATTTATTATTCCTATACTTCTTTTAAGAGTGACTTGGGTTGTTTTGTAACACAGAAGAAAGGCCACAACATATCGGAAGAAGAAACATCTGAAGTTATTGCTTACTACACGTTTCCAAACATAACTCGGTCATCTGGAATTGAAAGAATTGTTTTGGCTGCTTATTCCAAAGTTCAGTGCTAACTGAACATAAAACATTTGGAGACAAATTATGAAAACATGAGAAAGCAGCACACTGCACGACGGTAAGACACATGCCCTGCCGTGGTTTATGCCCCAGATCAATAGACCGTGGCACAGTTTGGTTAGCTGCAATGTAAGAAATCCAAAACATTCACAGCCACATGCATCTGACGGAAGAAGTTGCATTTTACAACTCCTATCCAGCTCAGCAGGGCTTTTGTAACCACATCTCACTACTTAAGCAGGTAGATCAAATGGGTTGCGTAGCTGTGCAATTTGCTGAATCCAAACCAAAGTGCAGTTACCGACTCTTACGACTTAGTTTAGTCCAGCTGAAGGAAGAGAATTTAGCCAGGAATTTACTGTGGCAATAACGGAAAAGGAATTTGCACAGTAAATCTGCGCATTGCCTAACATAACTCAGTAATGACCTATTGGAGAAAACCAAAATAATTTAAGCTATCACAACCACCTTTTTAAAGGCTGTTAGATTTTCATCTCTACATCAGGCCATAATCCCAAGTGGTCTGATGTCAATCCACAAAGGGGATTTCACAAATGCTGGTGAAGCAGAAGCTCAAAACTCACTTTTGGTGGGATGTGAGCTTCTAGGAAACTTAACCAAAAGGGAAAAAAAAATTATTTTCCTGCTTGTACAATTTTGGCATATTCAATGTTTAGTTTGGCTGCTGAGAGAAATGCACTTTTCTAACTTATTTTAATTAAAGCTAGTAAGTGTGTTATAAATTCTTAGAAAGATATCATTAGATCATGCACATTTTCTCCAGTATTTACACCAAAACAAAAGCCCACCCCAAATTGCCAGGGATTTTGGTTGGTTTAGCCTCAAAATGTCAGTCTAATACTTTTAGACACAAAGGTAAGGAAAATTAGAGGTGCTTAAAAGTCCAGTAAGTTTTTATAGAATCAAATTAATTAACACTTTTCCCACAATGGGCTATTTGTTTCAGAAAGGCAAAACTCAGAAACTTCACATTTACATTTTCAGCCAACCGCTTTTTAAACTTTTTATCCTGAAAATTTAAGATGCAGTTTTATTCTGTTACTCGAAATGACCTGAGTGCACCTTTGGACCAATAAGACCTGAACACTGAATTCCTAAGGTTAAATAAGAAACCTGGAAGACAAAACTTTTAAACATTTTAGATCTTCTGTCACAGAACAATTCATTGAAAGTTCATTTACCGAACAGCAAACTACCCTGACCAGCTGGTGGCAGGGTGCTGAAGAGCAAGTTTGATGTATCTCATGACTTTACCTTTTTCTTTTGTTCTTCCGTGGCTTTGATGATTCCTGGATCAGATTTCCAGGATTTTCCAAAATTGTAGAAAAGTGCAATGCTATTAGCGAGGAATGGAAGATGTATAAAGAAAAAATTGAGATGTGTTCGAAGTCAAGGAATCTAAAGTTTAAAACCAGGTTTCCTCTTGAAAATACCCACTGATAATTCTAAAATAAAATTTAAATAAACTTAATTTTTACAAATGCCCCTGGGTCACTGCCTTCTGAATTAACAAAATTCCACACTGCGATAAGAACCAGCTTGGTATTCAGTACTTTCTATTGCTCAAACTTGAAAACTTCCTTTAAAAATACTGTTCTCCGTGAGGCATTTCTAAAGCACTTACTCTGAAGAATGAATAATGATAGTTCAGTTTTTGTAATTATTTTCCCTTTTAAATAAGTTAAATTCCATTAAATTTATCTTCTTAAAAAGTATTTCCTGTTTTCACAATAAACATTTCAGAGCTCTATTTATAAGATAGTCATTTGAGTGTCTAACTCTTCAGTGGCCTGAAATTCCCGTCGGCTCACAGAAAGGACTTGTTCGAGCCACAGAAGGAACTGTGATGCAACAACGACTGCAGCATGGCATGCACGCCTCAACACCACTTATCTCCCAAGAAAGGTACTGTCTGAAGCCTGGTCTGATTGTAAGGCGATAACCCATATTTTAAATCAATGAAGTTATTTTTAACATACTAATACATCTAATACTTACAAAAACACAGGATTTAGTATTCTCTGGAAGTGTTTATAAATCAATTACCATATAAAGACAGAAAATAACCATTAGTTTTAAAATATATTTCCTGTGTTGAATGACTTGCCATAAAACATGCCTAGTCTTACAACACTTCACATTTCCTCACAGAATTAAAACATTTCTTAGCAACAATGTTGAAAAACCAAATACTCCAGACATGCTTCTTCCACAAAAGCTGGAAGAGTATTTACTCTGAAAAACCTACAAAAGACTTGACCAACCTGAACGGAAGACAGCTGTCAGCTGTCAGTCGTAACTGCAAGGAGATGCCATATTTGACAAAGCTGCAGTGGCAGAAGTCTCTACAGCATTATCCAGGCAAAAAGAACACTTATTACTCAGGCACAAATCACTGCACACCCAAACTGCACTACATTCTGAGTAACTTAGATAAGTATTTCTCTCTACTTCAGTCGTTGTTAAAACTTCTACTGTAATTAAAGTTTAATATATGCAGTTTTGTGACACACGCTATAAGACTTAAAAAGAAGCATTACGTGGCAACTGTATTGAACTGGTACAAAACATTTTAAAAACAACAACAACCACCCACATTTTTTGCATGCTTTGAAAAAAATCTGATTTTGAAGTTAGAACAGATGCTCACATATATTCTACTATATATCTACAATTATATTCTATTCAACTATTCTTGGAAAAAAATGTTTATTGCAGGCATTAAGCAGTATTAAGAAAAAAATTGCATAAACCATTGATAAACAAATCTACGTTGTACAGATACAAGTAAATATTAAATAAAAACCCCAGAATTTCTATAGAACATCTCAAATCCTTCTACACTGATCTAGTGAAGTGAAAGAACCTGAAACACGAACAAATACAAGGCCTCTTTTTGACTTCTGAACTGCTAACAAAGCCTCATTGTCCACGTGAAGTGTATCCCAAAGAATTTTTGTTTGCCTTCTCTTGGAGGGAGGAGTTGGCTGTGAATTTCTAATTAAAAATATTGGCAAGTTAAGTTAAAATTTTAATCATGTACTTTATATAGTAGACTGTTAGTATTAACTCACTAAAGGCTAATTAATCTTTCCTCTAACAAGCTGTTTCCAGCAAGTTTATAATAGGGGAAAAAAACACCAGCTACACTATAACCTGAACACTCTCAATAATTTGATCATTACAGTATCTCAGTAATTTGATACATTACAGATGAGAAGCTGTGACTTCACTATTTATACAATCTAATTTCTTATTTTCCTTGTAAAACTACCTGCTGCCAAGAATAAGCTGGTTCAACTTATTTGTATAGCTAGAGACATATTAAATTTTCTTTAGAACATGAGAAGTATCACGGGGTTTTTGCCACAACAGCAAAACCCGTTTTTTCATTAAAAAGACCTTAATCAGTCATCTGTTACAAACAATAAAGATACAATTGAAAAACAGTGTATGACCCATTCCTAATTACTTTACGTCATGTCTAGACTATTTAAAAAGGTAGGGGGAAAGACAATTTATTTCCTATCCATTAAAAGGGGTTTTATAACCTTAAAGTTTTGGAATTGTTTTTTACTGATTAAAATTTGGACAACCTGTGTGATCAAGAAGTTGCCCATGGATCCAAGCCACACGTGTACAAATTCAGTGTGCAGAATTTTTCTGAACTTACCCTTCCCCCATTTTACTCCATAAAATGCAGAGAGCCTAAGAGACTACCCACAGAGCCTAAGTTTGGCCTTTCCTTTTATCACAGTGGTGTCAGAGGAGTGCAGCGCTGACAGTGTAAATGGTGGCAGATAAGGTACTTCTGTGCTGAGGATGGAAGATGTCAGGAGACTACAGGAGAACGCAGAGTTAAGTATAGATAGCAGTAACTCTGTCAGTGGAGAAAGACAGTCAGCAGTATTTTTCATTCATATCTTCAAATACCCACTTCTTGTGAGTTTTAAGAAAAGCTGGGGAGAAGAGATGAAAACCAACCAGACTGTGAAGGAGAAAGGAAAGTTAGAACTGTCTTCTCCAGGGCAGTTCTGGCATCTGATGTAGATAAACAAATCCAACTGTGGGATTCATCTCACCCACCTTAAATCACTCAGTACGCCTTCATACACAACAAAAAGAAAAAAGGCACATCCCTTCTATTTTCAGTATCAAGATATGTCAATTAAGTCAGAGAAGCAGTGCCCTGCAAGTGGCTACTTTTCTCCATCACCTATGTACAGAGCTTAAACAACTAACTTCGATATGGATGTGCATACTAGAGGTATCTAAAATTACAGTGAACTCCCCTCTGCAGTTCATTTCTAAAGAGATCTTAGTAACTCATATCACAGACATGTCTCAAAACTCTCCATATGCAAGAAACCCTTGAAGGTTTGCATTAGCTAGAGTAGGGAACAGGTTCTTCAGAGAGAGCACCTCATTTTGTCCTAACACCCTCATTTGCAGCTGCGCAAGGAAAAATGCGTTACCATATTACTAAAGGCTGCAAAATGCATGATATAGCAGGCATTCACCTTCTGCCCTGTTGCAAACTGTCTGCCTTTAATGAGGTTTCCCCAGTTGTCATCGTGCGAGACCAAGAAGAAACACCCATGAAGCACTTCCTACTTTCAGTCCTAATCAATATCCTTTCATTATTGTAAGTACAACAGGCTGAAAATTATTCCAGGAAACCACTTAGAACCATAAAGGCCATCTCATTAAAAGAAAATTAAAACCCAACAAGCACCCCACAACCCATGAGTGAGGTAAACATGTGATGAGCTATTTTTCCATCCTGAACTGCAGTCTATTTAAAAGGGCACAAGCACAGGCAGCTTCTTGCTATCACAGCTACACATGATACGAGAGTCTGAAATCAAGCCAAAATGGACATTATATACCAAGATGCTCCCTTCCACTAACTACAAATTGAGTAACAAAGTCCTTTTCTCCTACAGAGAAAAATCTGCAGCCAGCATAAGGTGTCAGAGATCAACAGGTGCCAACAAACCTGCTGATTCATAGCAGCTGTTCATGCAGGAGGTTCAGGTAGGTAACAGCAGAAAGCCATACAAGAAGCCTCATTTGACTAGGCACTTATTAGACAAAACCCATTTTCAGTCCAAGGAAGATCTGCAAAAGCTCTCTACCTCCATCTTCTATCTAATATAAAAAAATACTTTGGCTTGCAAAAAAGAAAAATCATTCACTGCCACCTCCCCCATCCCAGAAAAAAAATATTCTTTTTTTTTTTAATTTTAATTTTAATTAAAAAAAAAATGTTTAGACACAGGAACAGAAGTTCCGGATAGCTGGGCTTGGCGTTTGGATTTTTTGGGGCTTTCATTCCTCTAGAAACATGGCTGCTGGCTTCTTTCTTTCTGCTTTGTGCTGTTTTCCTGAAGTTAATTTTGGTAGTGTGAATGGTGTTTTTAACTGCTTAACTGTGCCAATTGGCTTGTTACAGTTTTTAAAATGTTATGGTATTGTAGCAGCTTTGAGAAAACAAAAATCATCATGAATTCTCTTACACCTAGTTTGTAAAATGATCCCTAATTGAAAAAGCGTGCAGTGCTTGTTTTCTTTCACCTAAAACCCACCAATACCTGAAGTGTATTTGAAATAAGAGTCAATACACTATCAGTCAATTCTACATTATTTTTAAAATCATAAATCTGCTTATATCATCTCCTTATCTCAGCGTTGCAAGTAGTAAGCTATACCAACAAAACTTAATTAATGGCAACTGCACACTTCCATTTGCACCAAATGGAAGTGGTAGAACAAAAAAAAAAAAAAAACAAACAAAAAAACACCACAAAACTGTGAGTAATTTGATTCCAGCAACCCCCCCGACATGTTAGGAAAACAGAGCAGTGTAAGAACCTTCTGACATAACAGGCACTATTTGTTCAGCTGGAACCAAAAAGGCTGCATGCACAACTGAGATATGAACTCAGTACGTGAGCCCTGAACTTTTACAGGACACAGGAGAACGTTCTACCTATAAATGCTAATGAAACAGAATGAAATGTGAAGTTCTACTCTCATTATTAAAGGTGTACTTTTAAATCCTTCTTTTTTTCCCTTTAAAAATGAAATGAAATTAAAATGTAATGATTCAGCATGTAGGATTTGTAAGGGTATTTTCCCCCTATTCTTCGAATAGTAGAAGATTAGAACACACTAAAAGAGCAAGACGTAACTATCCTGTGCTATACAGGCAAAATACAGCTGAAGGGAAGCAGCAAAACAGTGGCAGGGAAGCACACGACCACAGACTCATATATCCATAAATACACAGATCATAACTTCCTCATTCCCAGCAAGAACAGGATTTCTGTTTTAATACATATACCAGACTCAGAGGCTGCTGAAAAAAAATCCAATAGAATGGAAACGTTTACAAAAATTCAGTACACTAGATTCATCTAAATTGCTGAATTGACTTTCAAGATGGGTCTTTTAGAAGACACATCATTAAGCATTAGAATTTATACTTATTTTTCATGTGACCATCCTGAAATTCAAGGAAACTCACTGCTAATATTCAGCTTCGTTTGTTCTTTATGATACATTGTTTCAACTGTCCTTTTCTGTCTCATTAGGCTTAAAACAAGAAGACCAGTCACCTTCAAGAGAGGTACAAGAAAAGAAAATTCTTACCAAACACCTGAACATTAAAGTTAACACTTGCAGCAATCAAGACCTTCATATAATGGAAAGTTTCAAGAAGGCAATTTGTGATAGTTGTTCAAGGTTAGAAACTTTTTTCCTGAGCAAAAGATGGTCAGAATTCATGACAATCACCAGGACAGGTTTTATCACTTGAACATTAGAGAGTATAAAGTGACAGAGTACTCTGGTCTGCCCTAAGTCATCACATAAAGCTGTAAAAATACAAGAATCCTTTCTCCAACCACAGTGCTGTGGCTCATGCTATAAAAATAGAGCAGGCATGCAATTTCCTTCCCCGCCCCCCCAATAAAGCTACAGGGCAATTTTCCAGAAGAATGAATTTGGAATCTTATTACAAAGACTTCCAATTAAAAATCACCAATTAAAGGAAGATGGCCTCAAGCACTAAGTCTCTAAAACTGCATGTCAGAGAATTGTGTCAGCGCTAATGAAAGCAATTAGTAACTGAAGTTTTTAGACTACTATTTCTGTGTACAAAAATATTGTCACCAAGTTTCTGTGGCACCTACCTTAAATCACAGAAGCAGTACACTACTTTACTGACATTCTGAAGTCAGGCTTTATTGGGATAATTAATTGTTTGTGGGTACTACTACTAGTGGACAATGAACATTATTCTGTGACCAAAAAAAACCCCAAGGCCAAGTTACACTAATCAGAATGACTAACAGAAATAAAAATCTAAGCAGGTTGGTACAAATATGAAGAAAAAAGGAGCTTCAGGATAAGAATCTCACAATTTGCCAACCTTAGGGGACAGCTTTCTAAATCAAGATCGAGGTCATCAAGCTGCGCTGGCTGTGCAGCCATTTTAATACGGTCAAGGGTTTAGGTGTGAAGTTGCACACATCCTCAGATTCGGTTCAAGCTGATGTCACGTTGGCACAAGAAAGCATTTCACAACAGCTCAACATGCAACCCAAACACATGTAGTAGCATTAGCAAGTGAGTTTCTAAAGAAAACCTACGAGGTATGGACAGCTGAGATTCAGAAGTGAGATGGCGTACTTATCAGAACTGCCGCAGAAACTTGTACTTTACTATTTGCCAAAAGTCAGGTTTTCTTAACAAAAAGAAACTTGAGTCTAGAGGCATGACATATTTAGACAGTTCTACCCCATTCCATAAAAAATGGAAAAGTATATCTCTATTTTTAACTACTTCTTTTTAAAAATGTTCATCATACTCATTTTGTACTTGCTTTCCTCATTCTGCGCTTACTAATAAATTTAACTGAGTTAAAACAGAAAATCAGGCCAGACAGAGAGACTGGTAGTAGAACCAGCCACTACTGGTCCTACTACTGTAACTAACAATTTCAAGCCACACTCATGTTAATATGGACAGAAATTAATTTTCTTTCAAGTAAACAGATACTAGGTTTTCATTTTTAGGTTTTTTAAACATGAAATAGCTGCCGTATCCAGCCCCTTGGACTGCTATTATTTACAGCAGCAGCTTTGCAAGCACTGTCAGCATGGGAGCAGAGTCTTCTCTCTGCTCTCGACCCAAAAATGTGAGACTTGTTTAGCTAAGGCGGGAAAACACATTAACAAGATGATAAAAGGGTGGCAGTGCTACTACCCTATATCATGGTAATTCCTTTGAGGATGAAAAGAAAACCAGCTTCTTGAAAAGTCAAGCCAACGTCCATGATGAACATTAAGTTCACTTCAACTATTTACAACTAGGAGAACTGTATCAAACATTTATTAAAACAATAAATCTCTATTTTGTTTTCTGGTTATTGTAATTACAACACCAAAAGAGTTGTTCAAAAGTTTGGATCTATTTCCTCAAGGTGGATAACTGATATTCTCCAGTGAACTCAGCAGAATCAATTTCTGTCCCTGTGAGTACAAGTTCATATTTAGGCAGTCAAAACCATAGAGAGATGGGCATATGCTGAATCTCTATAATCGAGCGTTGTTAATACTTACATCTTCAAAGACTGACAATATGGTTAACAATGTATCTAAGGTTTGTATGAAATGGAATTTGCAAAATTGTTAGGAAGAAGATCTAACTATAAAGCTAATTCCACTGGAATTGATACATATCATGAAATTACCTACTGCTTTTCAGAAAAGCAGTGTCTAAAAAGCAGTTAATTACACCCTGTCACTTCACAGCCAGAGCACATTTTACAGAGTTGCTTACATTTCCCTCATTTAAGAAACTAGTAAAGCACATGAAATTTTGCTACTATAAGCCGATTTTGAGGAAAATCTTTCACTTACTGAAGCAAATCCATAGCATGCACCTCTTTAAAATAAAATAACCATCATCAATACAGAAAGCAACGTTTAATGGAGATAGGCATTTTAAAAATTTAATTAGTTTTCTTACTCTTATTTGTAGACTTTATGTGGATATTATTTCATACTACTAACATGAAAAAAATATTACTGAACACAAAAAAGGATATCATTCCAAAACCAGAAGAACCATGTCACGTACATCCAGAATTTCGTTGCCAAGTATATTCCAAGAGGCAGCGCACTGTGCATGGAGTGATCAAAGAATGACCTGTAAAGTAGAAGCAATGTCACCCGTTAAGTTTTGACTTATAAAATGTAAATCCTGAGCTACTCCTTCTGAAAACACTTCCCGTTAAAATACGTACTACATGGGATATTGCAAAATACACCATAAAAACATTCTCCTCACTTTACTGTCAAAGGTCATGAGAATTCTCATTTTCAGCCTGTCCAGATAAAGGATCATGTCTGAAAGCTACTTAATTAAAACTACAGATTTACTTTAGAAGTGAATTTCTAGCTAGAACTGGACAAGAAAGGTCGAATGAGTAAATATTCATGCTAAAACTACACCGTGAAAGCAGTTAGAAACCTGTGAGATATCTGGCCTACATGGACAGCGGTTCCAAACTCCACTTATGACAGTGATAAAGATATTTTGGAAATACATACAATGAAAATCACACGTTAGAATTACTTCAGTAAGAAAAAGCCTTAAGAGCCCTTGGTGTTATCAGCCTACATACTTGAAATACTTCAGGTTCTTGAATCTTTTGCTTCCGTTACAGCTGCTAATAAAAGTTGGAAAAAAACCCCCAGAATCATTTGCTATATCACTAATTTCCCAAGTTCTTAAGACAGAATGCTGATACTTTAATTAAAGAAATATTAAGCCATCAGAATTATTTTCACCTTCTTATATTCTTATATTTCAAAGACTATTCTGAATAAAGCCGAATATAATTGATACAAACCAGAGGAGTGACTAGGTTGCTCCGTATTCAAGAAAAAATTGGTAAGCATATATAAAGTCACACTCTCATCTGCTAAAATCCTTGAAATAAAACTTCTTCCATCATCTGCCTAAGCATCCTTACACTGATGCATTTTGCTTTTTGTGCTGGTGGTGCCCTTGGGGCTGCCAGAGAAATGCGTGCACCGTGTATTTTCCATTTCCCTCCCTTACTCCCTTGCAGTAACTGTCTCTTCGCCAAGGACGCTTCTCAGGTCCTTTGAGAAAATGCTCTGTGGAAGATGAGCTCAGGTGGTAAGAAGCAAATATACATTTGGACACACAGTAGTTACTCAGCCGTAATCTGTCTTTCAGTGATCTCCGTGCATTTCTTGATGTGTGAAAGGAGTAGGGAGGAAAGCTAAGCAGGTTAGCTACAATTGAATGGGGAAAGGAAATACTACTACAATTACAAAAGTTTCATTGAAACCTGGGCTTTGTGAAAAACACTTCAAAAAGTATTTATACTAAAGATTAAGCAAAGGATAAGAGAAAGCAAAAATGTTAATCCTGACTATGTGTCATGTAGGTCAAAAACATAAAACTTGACAAAACCTAGCTCTTGAAAAATTTGAAGAAATCTTGCCCTTGCGTCTTGCAGGAGGCTTGATAGAGGATCTGTACTGCCAAAAAAGTATTTTTGGGAGGAGGACAGCAAATTGCACAGCTTCAGAGATGACAAAAAGACTGAAGCAAAAGTTAGATGACCTCCCATCTCCCTCCTGGTCTACTAAGTTCAGTAAAACTCTCTGAACTTGGTTTAAGGAACAGATATATTTTCTTTTCCTCTTTAATCAGAAAGGAAGAGAAGCAAGCGGTTCTAGTAAACATGACATCCAATGCCAGAAAAGCAGACAGCTCCCAAGTATGAAGCTATAAGTTCTTCTACAGATGCCACACATGGCAACAAAGAGCAAAGGATAGATAAAGTAATCTACAGACCTTGAACCTCCATTGGAACATGCCTGCAGGTGTATGTGTGTGCACCTGTCTATGAGGTGCATTTACCGATATCTGAAGTAATACAAACACAGCTAAAATTCTTTATGATCAGGTAACAAATTAAAAACATCATTAAAAAAAGCAGCCTTTTTCCTTAGTCACCCCTTCCCACAACACAAGCTACATAATCTGACTTAATTTCTCCCTATAAATCTCTTCAGATGCATTCGGGTACTTGAATTGTAAAGAAAAAATGTTTTAGTAGCACACTTGCACACATCTTTTTTCTATTCCTTTCTAATTATTTTCCCCTTGACTGCTTTCTCCAACATTCATGCTGATAACTCTTTGTAGACAGACATTCAGCACCCTCCTCTGGATAATGACTGAATTTCTGTTCTGCTGTTAGCTTCTGTTAGCTCAGTAGCATTCACCCAAGGTAATTCCATGGCTATTTGCAAGATAACAGAGCATTACAAGAGCTAAAGTCATACAGGATACTTCCAGAAATATCAATAAAAGAATTTCAACACAAAATTAAGGTTACATGCCAAAAAAAAGCCCACAAAAACCAGAAATTTAAGATTATTTATCCAATAAAGATGCCTGCAAAAGACTTCTTGTGTGCACAATAAACAGACAGTGTCGTGGTAAAACACTTACTTTGAAAGAAACTGCACCATAGCCCAAACGCCACCATACATCAGCCCTTTAATGAGCCAAGAATCAATGTCTAGGTCTGCTATAAACCCAACCAGCCAAATAACTAGAAAAGGAGTTCCCAGCATCACCTTCTGACGGAATTCCTATACAGAAACAAATATCAGTAAGTAACTATTTTCAGGAACAGATTGTATCATCATAAATAATAATAAACAGGACAGTCACAAACAAATAAATTTTCAGGAGGCTTGGCACAGGGGGAAGAAACTTCTTAAGTTTTACTCATTTCCTATAATTGCGTATCTGCAATGAATGTGCGAGGAAAAAAATTCCTAATTTTTATAACAAATCAATAATTTTATTGGTTATTTTAGAAGAACTGTCTTCTAGAGAATTTGCTGCAAATCCAGAGTAAAGTCAACAGTAGCTCTTTTTTAAGAATCTGTCAAAGTGTATAAACTACTACACAGCACATGGTAATAATCTCAGTGAACTTCAGAGACTGCAGTTCCGTAAGTAGTAGATAAAGTCATACCGAAGCATCAGTGAAGAAAGATAGGACCTTTTTGTCTTACACTGTGTGAGTACAATTACTGCTGAAGGCACTGGACATATTCAAAGCACAGTCACTCTGCACACATACACACAACTCGATGCACAAATCAGAAGTCAGTAATCACTGCATTGTACTACCACAGGGTTAAAGCACAGGCTGTAGCCAGAGCTTTAATCACCAAGACTCAATGTATCTTTCAATCAAGAAGTTGTTACTCATGGACAGCAATACTTAATATCCAGCATGACACACTGCCTGCTAAGAAAATATCAACTCTGTACAGAGTTATCAAACTCTAGGCAGGTAGACAGTCCTTCATGCTAGAGCAATATGTTACCCTTTATCCCTTCATTTCTTGCCTCCTCCTATCCGCAGTGTTAAATAATAATCTGAGGAGAAAAAGGCCTCCACATTAGAGATTCATGTATTACATTATACTGCCAAAATTGGCTGCTGCTTTCATTCAACACAAAACGCTACATAATTAGAGAGGAGATCAGATTTCAGGCTAAAACACTTCCTTGCTTAGATAGCTGAAAGTTAGCTTTGTGAAAGCCTCGGCCATCTCCGACAACAGCAGACCACTTGGTGCCTTCATAACACTTACTTGGCACAAAAACTAAAGGCAACCGTGTGGAGGCTTAGGGGTTTGTTTCCTCCCTGAATAAAGCTTTGTTTTTCTTTTTGATTCTGCAACTACCTTTGTCCTAACAAAAAGATGCTTCCTAAAACTGAAATGTGGGGAAACCAGAGTACTGAGCTGCCTACCTTAAACAAACACACACCCCTCCAAACCAAAAGCAGCAGTTAGCACTGATTTACACACGTGTTACCCTACTTCTTACCTTATCAGCTTTTAGTTTTCTCAGAAAGGATGGACTGTCGTATCCCTTTGCCTGTCTTGCTTCCTGTAGGTGATTGATCATCCAAACGTTCTTCCTCTGTTTTGCTAGATCAAGTGGTGATTCTCCCTGCCAGGAGTACAGAAGTGGGAAACATCCAATTTAAAAATAAAATGCATTCAGAGCACTTTTGAAACAGAAGACTGGCAGGTTCAAATAAAAAAATACATTTTAAATCCGTTTAAGCTACATTCTGGCATGCTTTCTGCTCTGCAGCTTCCTTGACACCAAACATCATTCATTCTTTTTGGTCTTTTGCACTCTCTCATACCTATGCAGGCGTGGACAAGCAGCATATTAAATGTGTGATCCTGACAATGTGTATGTCCTGACAAAGCAACAATTGTTGCCTCTGGCATAGCACATCTATGTTTCACTGTTGTACACACAGTCTACTAGTCTGTAAATGAAAGACTGCGCTTCCCCCTCAGCTATTGACAGGCAGCAGAAATCAAGCAAAGAATAAGAACTCGAGACCCACTGGATCATGGAAACTCTCCTGGTCTAAAGCCTGACTTCTCTGTTAAGTCTCTGCCTTTTTGGCAGAGTGAAGTTACTAGTACGGAATATTTCTATAAGGAATTTTGTTCCACAAGCTTAATGCTCTTATATACATCTCTGTTACTGAAGTCCTAGGAAGAAAACAGCAAAGAATAAACTGACTGCTCATACCCAACTTATTCCAAAACTCTAACCTTTCATGCTTAGCTTGTGCTTCACATAACTTCGGTCCATGCTTTTTTCAGAGAGGACTGACAGACAAAGCAAAAAGAGACAGAGAGAGAGACACAGGGGCCAAAGGTGCCTACCAAACTGATTTGATTTTATTGTTTTTCAAACATTTAGGAAGAGAGCTAAATGAAAGTTATTGACTGGATCTAAAAATATAGAGGAGGCAAGAGACAACCAATTGCAGGTACCTCCAGCTTCAGTTTTGCATTTGACTCTTCCTCTCTTCTACTGGAGTTAACTCCCCTCCTAAACAAACCATTCATGGAGGCTTGAAAAATGGCTGAATCCTCCATCGCTCGGCCCCCTCCTAAAAAAAAAGTGAGACAGGTACCAGAAACTGAAATTACCCAGGAAGGGCAATAATTACTATAGACAGAAGAGATTTCAAAGATTTAAAAGTACAGTCAGCTACCTATATCCCATAGAAAGACAATGGGAATTGAGTACTTAACTGCCATTTTTGCCTTTGAAATCTTGCTCCAGATATCTAAAAGGAGAGTAAATAGCACAAACTACAGATTATGAGGTGAAGTTTTTTGCTACTCAACAGGATCTTGCACTCCTTCTGTGTGAGAACTTTAACTAGCAAAATCAGTTAAAAAAAGAATAACAACCTTTTGACTTAACTTGGCTTCAAAGTTACTTAGCCAGATGTTTAAGAAACAGACTAAGTTAACTTCATCCTCAACAGAAACGCCTGAAATCCAACTACGGCACCTGCTTCATCACAAATTCCATAGCAACTTGAATTGCTAATATCTGGAAAACTCCAGAGATGCTGCTGTTTTAATAACACCTTATATATCCAGATTGTAAAGATTACCTGTGGACAAGCAATCCCCTCTGGGAGTTGATCTCCCAAGTAAATCCTGAAGTCCTGGAGTCCAGCTGAGCATCCCTTCCACTAGAGGGCCATGGGACACCTAGGAACTGCCTAGATAAAAAGATTGAGGGAGCTTTAAAGAAGTCTTTGACTACGCTTCTCATCATCTGGCCATTTTAACATTTTCCTTGTATTCATAGGGGTGAGGGATGGCTGACTTGCTAAGAAAGCAAAAAAAAAAAAATCGGGCAACTTCATCTAGTAACACATTTAGTTTGCCAGCACACAATATGGCTTCAATAGTGTATTTTTAAAGTGTTTAGGTAGAAAGAATAATCTGAAGGGTCATTACCATAGGGAACTTTACATGTAGACTTCCACAGACAAGCCTACAGATACACAGCATAATCAAGAAACTACAGCTAAAGTCCACTCAGTGATTCATTGACAGATTTAAATTAAAAAAAAAAAAAAAAATCATCCTTAAATAGAAGCTCTTTTAGGTCTGTATTACTCTCTAGTGAAAAAGGAGCATCTGCTTACATGTAAGTAAATTTACAGGTTTCCCCCTGACTCTCAGAGATAAGCTGACTCCCTGTGAAATCCTGTCCTCATCTACCCAATCTGTCTACTGGTGTGGCAAGAAAATTTCCTTAACAAAAAAAATCAACCAAGCAAAAAAAGCCACTCTGCTTTGATACTGAAAAGCAGCTTCCAACTCCAACTGCAATCCAGTTCTCAGAAAAGGAAAATAAAGTATCTTACTACCAAAAGAAATTATTTACTTGTACAGCATAATATAAAATGAATAAATAACACCAACAGGACAAACCCACTGCTTGTATGAAGCTTTATTCTAGAATAAGAATGTTATTATAGTTCATATACTTCTCAAACTGTCAAGCAAAGTAAAAAGAGCACCTTCCTGAGATGACTGGTTCCAATTTGTTTCTGAATGTCGGTGGCCAGCAGCATGCGCCTTTCTAACGCAGCCTGCCTAGAGCTGATAACCACAAGGTCAAAGCTCACACCTAGTATTTCAGCCACTTCATAATTTGAAAATGATGAACAGCTTTCAGTCAACATATTTTTTTAACCTCAGCTGTCTTAACACCATTCTTGCTCAATTCTGTGGGCTGTCTGAGAAAAGGACTAGACAGTGCTGCGGGAATCTGGAATTGACTGCATCAGAAAGGAGCCTTTCATGATTCCTTTTATTTCTAGGGCAACATGAGCCAGACACTCAACAAGCGGGTTTTGGCTCAAAGAAAACTTTTCTTCTGAACAGGCAAAGGAGAAGCACAAAACTGAGTTGCTATATACCTATAAAAGAAACCAAATTCTTATGTTTCCTGTATGTTTACTACCACCCAAATTAGCACGTGTTACACAACCACTGGCAGGATGGCAAAACTGTCACTGCTAGAATGATTCTGATCCTCTGAAGGCCCTAGTAACCTGCGAAGGTGTGTAAGAAACCTAGACTCTGCAGAAGGCAGGCGGTGCTTAACGAAACCAGGCCCATGTCTTCTGGCATGACTAGAAAGATATCATGATCCAGCAGGTTCAAAACCCTATTTTTCTACTGACTGCTGCTGTCTGTCAATAAAGGAGAGACCATGAACTGCTTCACCCTATCAGATACTTTTTCATTGGGCCAAGCATATGAGTTTTTATTACGGATTTCTTAAGAGTCCAGAAATGTAGGTAAGGTGATGACTTTAAAACTCTAATCATGCTAATCAGTCTGCCAAGGGAAGCAAAGTATGACACTGATTTTTTATTTTTTTCTCCCCACAAAATTACCTTAATTTTTTCCTATTAGGTGGCACAGGAAAAAAACTTTTCAATCGCTTACAAGAAGTGAGCCTAGAAGCATAATTCATCCACACGATTGACCTTACAGACCAGGAATTGTTATTATATATTCATATCAGTACATGCAGGAGGCTAGTTGATTTGTTTTAAACGTGAAAAGCCATGTGACTTTTCTGAGACTTCATTCACGATCAACAGTATTTCTGATAATCTAAAATAGGAACTAGAAAGCAATTAGCAAAGTTTGACTGCACACTTAAGACTGTTACATGCTGTTTAAGATGACAGATGTGTGTATATACATAGATATATATTTTAGCATATTTCTATCACTTGTGACCAAACAATATAAGCTCTGGCCATCTTGATCAGTAGGGAAAATGGTGAAAGGCCAAATAAATGTAATTAAGTATTTAATATTTTATAAATGTAGATTTAAAGCAGTATTTTCCAGTGTAACCACTCCAACTGTAACACTCATTAAGTGAAAAATACAAAACATTTGAAGAGAAATTGAAAGGAGAATTATTTTTCTAGAAGTTAATTCTTCTCCAACACCTATGAAACAGCTTGGGTAGTAAAGTGCATCTAATTTGATATACAGAATAGTCTGGAGGCAATGGACAAAACCACATTCAATTGGCGCACCTTCCACTGCTGGAGAAGCTCTTATAGCCTCCAAGTCTATGGCATAAATTCTAAGAACTGCTTGGCTGGTCTAACATGCAAGGCACAGGCTCTGTTAGTGCTGAATCTAGCTTCATCGTTAAGAGGTTCTTGTAGAATAATCAGGCAACTTAAATTTCTGATGCAAAAAAAGAGCCCATTTTCTTATTCTGTTCCTAAAGGTGTTTTTAGGCTTCCAAATTCCTTACTGCCACTGGAAGATACACTAAAGCATTTGTCATCTGTCTGGAAGAGGAGAGATGTCTCACATCTCACTCCAACAAACAAGACAGTCACCCAAGAACTTCACTAGAAGACATTCGGTCAGATTTCCACATTTGCACCCAAATGCATGGGTCTTCATGCACGCAGTCTAACTGCATACCCCACTCCCATATATTTGCACATAACCATCAGTAAATTATTTACATGAGTACTTTTGAAGGTGCAGGTGTAGTGGTTGTGCATCATGTTAGGAAAAGCTTATTCCCAAATTAAACTTTAGTGGCATGGCTTTTGCTCCATCTTCATCATCCCACCATACCCACAATAACAATCTGTTCTTGACATTTATCATGGGCTTTGATAGTTTTATCTCAAACCACTTACAACAAAAACAGACCAAGTGTTTACCTTTATATTTTGAGCATCAACATTAGCTCCAGCTTCTAAGAGAAGACTAATGACTGTAGTATTTCCTGCTAGCACAGCCCAGTGCAATGCTGTATTTTTGTGGTATTTGTCTCCAAGATTAACTGAAACATTAAAGGTAAGTAGTAATCGGGTTGGATCCACACTAGAAGAGAAAATTCTTGTTAGATCTACAGATGATAAATACTCACATGAGTTCAGTTTCTATAAAGAACATTGATCAGGTACACTATGTTAATAGCAAAGTGCATTTTTTGCTGATCATTACGAATGGCTCAAATCCCCTTCCCATCAAACATCAACCACAACTATGTTGACTTTTAAAGAAGCTCAGTAAGACAGCGCGTTCTGTTGTAACCCATTTGTTACATAATTCTGTTCTCACGTTTACCAAAACCTAGCAGTATTAGAAGATTTATAGAAGCGCACACAGAATTATACATTTGGCAGATAACAATGAATGTTATATGCTATATTTCCATTTCAAATATGTTATATTTCCACGTCATATTCCAAAAAATGAAAATAAAATAGGATGATAATGTTGGTAATGGTAGGTACTCATAAAAGGTAGCCTATGTTTATCTCAAAAATCAATGGAGATATGCCCTTCCGAGCATGAATTTAATTCAGACAAATTAGCTCTTTGCAGAAGTGTTATTTGACACCAACTTTTCCCAACCATCTCCATAGGAAAATTTACTTTGTAAATTAAAAGTTCATATTGCCGAGTACCTCTGCACAATATCCTCTCTCTTTAATTGGTCATTGTACTGGTTTGAGTTGGTGTCCAGTTAATCATCATAGTAGCTCCAATGATGCCATGTTTGGATTTGTGACCAAAATGGTGCTGATAACACACCCACATTTTTAGGTGTTGCTGAGCAGTGCTTACACAGCATCAAGGCCTTTTTTGATTCTCATGCTGCCCCACCAGCGAGTAGGCTGGGGGTGCACAAGAGGCTGGGAAGGGACACAGCTGGGACAACTGACCCCAGCTGACCAGAAGGAAACTGCAGACCATATGATGATGTTCTCAGCAATAAAAGCTAGGGGAAGGAGGAGGAAGGGGGATGTTCGGAGTTACGGCATCTGCTTTCCCAAGTAACGTATGATGGAACCCTGCTCTCCTGGAGATGGCTGAACACCTGCCTGCTGATGGGAAGTGGTGAATGAATCCCTTACTTCGGTTTGCTTGCATGTGCATGCATAAATGAAGAAAGATACAGTGGCAATTATGGAAAGAACACTGACTAGTTAAGAAAAAAAACTTTCCAAAAATCAAAACCAGTCACTACCATACGCCACTTCGTTAACATCAAGAGCTAGTCAAAACTGCGGTGAGACATTACCTATGTGTTCTGTAAGCTGCCCACATCAAAGGTGTCATTCCATTTTGATCCATCATATCTACATCCTAAAAAAGGAAAAGAAAAGAAAAAGCTGGTGATTAAGTAAGCATGCTCATGATCCAGGAGATTTGCAATGAGAAGCAATATTTTAAGACTGAGTTGGAGAAAAACTGGCAAGCTTTTAGTAAATAAAATAGTATTTTAAAAAAATGGAAACAGGCATTTAACACCACCATCACAAAAATATAACCATTCCAATCTATTTTGGAAACTAAGGGACAGTCATACTGTGTAAGACTAGTCATTTCTATCTTACTATTAATCTTCAACATAGAAGAGATACATAGATGTTGTCCTGTTGCACTCAAAAGCAGGAGAAAACTAAAATAATGCACAAATATTTGATGAAATACTTGATCAATTAACATAAATAACATGGCCTGAATCCTACATCCTACTGAATGATCTATTTTTCCACTTGCAAAGCAATTTCCCTTAGTTCACTAAGTTCCAAAGGTATTTACGAATCTGGATGTCAAGTTAATGGTTGTCAGAAAATCTTTAAGTTTAAACAAAAGCCATTAATAAAAGCAACATACCCAGAAATAAAACTGATCTATAATCAAGTGGTGACTAAACTGATGGCTAAAAACAAAAGAAAAAAAAACATTATTACATTTAAGAGAACATAGCCACAGAATGACAAAACAGCATGATCCAGGCAATTGTCTTAGCTCCATCAGAAAAGATCCCATACCTACTGCATTTTTTCCTGTTATAGATTCCTGCCTCAGTAACATGGAAGTTGCTAATTCCTAAATACATTGTGGCAGATTAGACTCTCTAACACATTAGGGAAAGTTCCACAGACTACTACTAACAAAATTACTCTCAGCTAATTTAATGCAAGACCTGAACGATTTTCCTGAGAAGCAATAGTGCTATGTCAGTAATTCCTATGCTACTCCCCTCAACCCTTACAATGAAAATTAGGTTGAAACTGTTTCAGTAAAGTGTTTTGCTACACAAACTTCTGAGCGAAACCCAGAAAGTGGATGATGTTACTTTCTATCACCCCCAGAACCTTCTTCTCCACTCCAGTAGTCTGCCAAATGCAAAGCACCCTCCGATGCCCACTCACAGCGCTGCTAGCCCGATCCAGGCAGAAGTTTTCCAGAAAATCCAACTTATTTCTTCCAAATAATTGCTTTTAAAACGTCCCTAGCCTGCAGACAATTTTACATTTCTGAGTTTTTACTCTGTTGCTTAATTTAAAAGAATCAGAAATTTAAAAAACAGTTGATGGAAAGAGAACCTTTATCCTACTGTATGTTCAAAGAAGAGTTACATGCACTGGGGCCAGATCCAGGCCTGTTTGCCCACAGTACTTGTGTGCATCAGATCCTCTTGAGCCTACTAGGACTGTGCAACCACTGGCGCTCCCTTCAACCTCCTGTTGTTGACACTGTCAAGGAATTTAGAACTGCAGCCCAACCTCAAGTTCATGCATCCCTGGGAAGCATGACTTTGATCCACAGGTCACACCATGTGAACGACATATTTTGAAGATTGTACAAATTACTGTAATGTGAACAATCACTCTTTCATCTTTGGATTTCATATGGAAAAGCAATTTTTCGTGACAGCAGACACCGGATTGCTTCCATGCCAGCGAAACGATTCGCTCAGTGATTCCACCTGACAAATCAAAACTACACTCCACACACAAAACAAAAGACAGCTTTGGAAAAAGAAAAAAAAAAAAAAAAAAAAAACCCCAGCCATAAGCTCTAGACTATTCCCTGCACATAAATTACCTAGGCAGGCTACAGCTATTACTCATATTCAGCTACGACATGGGCTGAGGCAGATCCCTTTTCAAAGGAACTTTAACAAGAGGCAAAGCAACAAAGACTGACCTGTGTACCGTTGTACAGACGAAACAAGATGACATAGTTGTGGATAGCAGAGGCATACCCTAACGAACCTCTCATCAAAAACTCATGGCTATTTTGCAGATCATTACCACGCAACAAGTGGGAGACCTCAGAAAGTCTCAGAAAGTGCACCCTCAGCAAGTCTGCCG